ATTAGAGGGGACAGCAGCAGGAGCACAAGGCTAGAAAAGGACAGAGGACTGTCCCAAGGAGCATCACACTCCGGCAGCTGCTGCCCACTAAGCCTCTCCCCCCACGGCAACAACGAGCTGAGCGAGGAGGGGGTGCTGCTAGGGAAGCTATCCGTTCTTGTCCCTTCTCCCGTAAAGGTATTCCTTATTCTGACTTATCCTGTTATTCATTCCTCTATCCTTGCCCGTTAGCAGGGTTGTCGGTCCTCTATAGTTGGTAACAGACGTAACGGGTAACGTACTCTCAAATGCAGTGTCCCCCCGTGGCCTTCCTCCTACCACCGTAACCGGCGGTGGGACACTGCTTTAGCAAGGTTGCGGATTGTCCATACTCGCTTAACTCACGGTTTCCTGTGTAGCATGGGATCGGTTCATGATTCTACAAGAGTAAAACATACTTTCAGGACAGGCTTATGTCACCAAGGAGGCCTAGGGGCAGGGCAAAGTCATAGGTTTTGACTGGCCTAAGAGTGACACACTGTAGTCATTGGTTGAGCTTTGATAGGCGGAGTTAATTGGGCCTAGGAACTAAGTGGGTGGAGGCTGTTCCGTTGGTAAGAGTTGTAGAAAATATTAGTGTTAGTGTGTCTTGGGGTGTCACCTGGGGAACAGGTCTCCTGATCTGGTGGCAGCCACTCAACATCTTGGCCAAGGTTGCAGGATTAAGGTAATGTCCGAGTTTTGGTACTTCAAGTAAATGCACCTCTAATTTCCATTTTGCCTCTTAAGATGTGTTAGTAAAGTAGGACATTTCAATTCGATTCCAATTTACGTGTTTTAAAATAATTGTGTTTAGTTATCTGTTCCCCTTTCTCTTTTGATGCTGTGCGAGTCAATTTATAGGGGATATTCTCAGGTGATATTGGAAGCCTTTGGATCCTCAATCAGTAAACATTACAGTATTACTTCTGAAGAGTTATTACCAAGATTCTAATTGCCCCTGAGTCCATGATTATTGAGTCCCTTCCTGGGGAAACAATAATTTAGACACATTCATTTATGCTTGTAGGAAGGTGGTGGTAGTGATTAAAGAGAATTTAATTATTAGTTATAAATTAATAACCCCTATTGTTGTGTCCTCATTTAATAGTCAGCTTAGATTCGTGGCAGCTCAGTGAGGGGTCATACTGAAGTGTAACAGTGTTAAGCTGGGGTATTGAGTGAAGGGAAAGGGTAGAGCAGAGAGTAGGTAAAAGGGTATTACAATGGTGGCAGCGGTGGGATTACAGGCTCACCATAGGCCGTGTTACTTCGAACGTTATGTTCAGGATAGCTGAATCTAAAACAACAACCATGTACATGTGAGGTGGGCTGTACATATTGCCATAACACCACCACCAAAATTTTGTCATTCAGTAATGTTGTACAGCGAGCCGGCCCACCCGCGCCACCAGCGAGCCAGCCCACCCGCGCCCCCGGGCCTCCAGCGAGCCGGCAAACGCGCCCTTAAGCCTCCTCACATTTATTGAGAACAAATCCTCTTGGCAACCCGAGAATTGTAGGAACATCCAGTTTAAAACCATAAACAAGCCCACTATCCTATGTACATGGCTACCCTGAAATGCAGCTTTAAACAAATGTAGAAATTTAAAAAAATCTAGTAGATAAATAAACTTATTGATCAGGGATCAAGAAATTAAATTTTACCGATATAAACAATAAGAAACTAACAATCCGAAGAAACAATCACCTAAAATAACAACGAACCACCATTTACTTGCCTGAAGATGAAGCAAAAGTTCATTCACCAGACTATCAAGAACCAAACTGCAGCCAGCAGAACACCCCCTCCTGCCACCGCCGTGATCCTCGCCACACTGACGGCCCGCACTAGTTGCCCCAGCACGGACTGATGCACAAACTGCCTGTGACGTCACTGATCACCTTAACTCGCTCACTAGGCTTTGTCTAATACAAATCCAAGCAAAGTAATTAATATATTAATACAGAGGTTATTCCTATTAAGCATGAATATGTAAGAGTAGGTCTTTGAGAAACGGTTATATATTCCAGATATTCTGCTGAATTTTGAGGGGCAACAGCACTGTTCACTGGGAGCCTGTGAAGCCTCACCCAACTGTAACCGAGTGAACTTCATCCGGGAACCCCCTTACACACCTCCCTGCCCGTCCTCCATACAAAGACCCAAAACTGATTCCATGAACCCGCAAAACTCCCTCCGTTTATGAATGAAAACGGTTTACACACTATTCAACTAATTTCTTTCGAACACTTCCAGAACAAGTGCTTCACTGACGAATTTTGTTCAAACCACAACGCTGTAAATGCTTCACCCACGTACTACAAGTATAAACAATCGCCAGAAGAATGTTAACACCTAACCTATCCTCCTCCGAGATGATTTCCGGGCTTAGTGTCCCCGCGGCCCGGTCCTCGACCAGGTCTCCATTCCCAGGAAGCAGCCCGTGACAGCTAACTCCCAGGTACCTATTTACTGCTAGGTAACAGGGGCTTCAGGGTGAAAATCTCTGCCCATTGTTTCTGGCCGGCGCCCGGGATCTAACCCGGGACCACAGGATCACGCATCCAGCTTTTCCTGTCCACCCTGCCACCGGCTCCCGTATAACCTAACCCATGACTATTTGCACAATGCTAATATATTAATTTATGAGAAAATTCCTGTTTTGAATGAACAGCATGTAAAAATTTATGAATGCGTCTTTGGGGTCGACTGCTGGATTGAATGGACTCGAGTCGAGGACGGGTTGTATTGATTTAATTACACTTGATGAGCACGTATAATATGAATAAATAATCTGAAGTACCAAACCCCAATTTTCTATATATTAAAAATAAATATTTTTGGGTGTTGCTCATTTAATAGAGAAAACACCTCAGAATTTGGAGATAATTATCTTACAAATGTTCAAAAAATGTATAATATTAATCAGAATGCAACCCGTCCTCGACTCTAGTCCATTACATCCAGCAGTCAACCTCACAGACGCATTCATAAATTTTTACATGCTGTTCTTTCAAAACGGGAATTTTCTCAAACATAAATTATTATTATTATAATACATTAGCATATTGTGCATATATAAGCATAGATTGGGTTAGGTGTTTAAGTTCTGTGGGCGATTATTTGTATTTGTAGCACATGGGTGAAACATTTACAGAAAAATTCGTCAGTGTAGCACTAGTTTCGGAAGTGTTCGAACATCAGCAGTCGAGTCGTGTGTAAACTGTTTTTCATTCACAGACAGGGGGTTTGGCGGGTGTATGAAATCTCTTTTGAGTCTTTGTTCGGAGGATGGGCTGCAGAATTATGAGCTGTCAGAAATCTTAGCCAAATGTCTAAAGTTTACTTAATGAAAGCGGGGCATAAACATGATTGTCAGCTTGTCAGTGGCGCCTATGTGTGTGATGTGTGGGTTTTTTTTTTTTTTTTTTTTTTTTTCGCGTGCTGTCGCGCTGGATACATGGTGAGTAATTACCTGTAACTGGTTCACCTTACACCACAACTGTTCTGCTTTCAGACGTTTTTGGACCTGTTCTTGAAGCAATTGCGTTATAAAAGACTTAATAAATTCATTAAATTGTGCACCAAGCTTGTCAAGATACTTGCTTAGCTAATTTTATGTTTAGAGTTCCGTTTCGGATGCCATTATGTGCCTCCAACTATTTTGATTACCACCCACGGGGTGGGTTTGGCCCCAGTGCATGATTACCACCCACGGGGTGGGTTTGGCCCCAGTGCATGATTACCACCCACGGGGTGGGTTTGGCCCCAGTGCATGATTACCACCCACGGGGTGGGTTTGGCCCCAGTGCATGATTACCACCCACGGGGTGGGTTTGGCCCCAGTGCATGATTACCACCCACGGGGTGGGTTTGGCCCCAGTGCATGATTACCACCCACGGGGTGGGTTTGGCCCCAGTGCATGATTACCACCCACGGGGTGGGTTTGGCCCCAGTGCACGATTACCACCCACGGGGTGGGTTTGGCCCCAGTGCACGATTACCACCCACGGGGTGGGTTTGGCCCCAGTGCATGATTACCACCCACGGGGTGGGTTTGGCCCCAGTGCACGATTACCACCCACGGGGTGGAGTTTGGCCCCAGTGCATGATAAATTAAAACCAAAAGCTATTGATCGTAACATTTTTTATATCGTTGGCATGGAATGTTTTGGTTACCAAGTGGTCACAGTTGTATTACTGCAGCAATATTGTATAACGCTTCAGGCACTACCACGTGAAACAATCTTTGTTAATGCCACCCGTATCATATACATTATAGAAGCAAATGATGACAAACCTTAGAGTAGGCTGTGTATCAGTCATGTCTATAATATCTTTTTATTAAAAACTGAAAAATATGATTTAATACACAAGCTTTCGAGTGCAGCCATCGCCACTGGACTCAAAATGTCCACTGAAGGCCCCCCCCAATGCCACCCAATGTTGTAAGCCATTGTGTAATTGAAATTTCAATAAAATAATTACAAATATATACAGGATGATATTAGACTGAGTACGTGAGCCCCACAATGCTCCCCCCAGATATATATCCTCTTCTTCAGGGCCGAGGGTACCTACAAACACATCCAGAGGTGGTACCTACTGTATATATTACATTTAAAAAAAAAATTGTGTATAGCATTTTTCCTCATTAAACATGTAACAATAACTGGAAAGATTTTTTAAAGGCGTGACAGTTAATAAGTAGTAACGCACATTTATTCCTACTTAGTAAAGTATTATTGTATGGTTAAATTGAGGTAATTAATACGTTATTTCAATTTAACAAACTTTACAATTTATGACAAATTTAACAGCGAATATCGGTGCACTATTAAAAAGGGCGGTTGCGAATGTTCCACCCCCTTTTCATTTGATACGAAACAATAGTGCATTTATTGTAAATGACAATAATTGGATTGCTTTCATACGAGAAGTTACCAGCGCTGGCAATACAGGTATGGTGGCCATTACCTGGAGACCTTCGTGTTGCATCAGCTGCATTATCACTTGCAATAGCAGAAGGTTGACGGTGGACAAGACCTGCAGACCCTCACACCTGAAAACAACAAGATATCCCTTTTAAAGTATATTTGTAAACAACGTGCAAGTATCTACCAAACAAAATACGTCGCCAATGGTATCTACGTCTAGGGATCTACTACACAAAATTCCCTATGACTCAATTACTCATAAGAAATAGGCAATTAAAGTTCTAAGCCAAGACAACAGTCAGCACCCTTACATCCTTGAGCGTTAAATATCAAGTGCTAATACTCTCAAGTGCACTAAATCGATCAAACTGACCTGCAATACTAATCCTAACTTCAAACATTTAACACTTCCAGGACGGCTGTAACACAACCCATGGGCACATGAGAAAAATCTGATATTACAAGAATGCGACTCTTGGAAAGTTGTAATACAAGCAATTAAGGGTTTCATTGTACAATGATTTCCCAAACAGTATTTAAACTGGTTGAGAGGAGTACAGCCTCTAAAGAAACTAATAAATACATAATTCACATTATGTAGCAACTTTCACTTTTCCTTATCCTACGAAAGTATATTGTAGTTTTTTGCCGTTATCTATTGTTGATAAATCTACATCTTCTACAATAAAGCAGTCAATGCATATTATCACAACCATAATTTGCTAAATTTATTTAACAATTCGTATATATATTAGTATGCTTCACTTTTGAGAGTTTTTATGCCATTCAGCTTAATTCAGTTAAAATATGAACATTTCTGAAATTTCCAATTATCCAATTATTTCCGAATTGTCACCCTATTTATGGAAATTTCCAATTATCCAATTATTTCCCAATTGTCACCCTATTTATGGGAAACATGATTAACTACTAAATAAATACTTCTAATAATATACCGCAATGAGGAATCTTCCTCAGTTAGGCTTATAAGACGACGAATTGTTACGGCTTAAATGTAATTAGGAGGGTTATTCCTCTGTTATAATAATAACTCATAATTTAATATTACTGGGGTGACGTAACATGTGACGTCAGCCACCTCTACGTCACCACGAGGATTGAGAAAATTACTTCAAGCCTCGTTGATCAGTTAAAGTGTGGAGATAAAATCAAACACTAAGTACTAAACAAATCAAGATATTCAGTTCAGATTCTGTAATGATTCTAATTAAACGGCCCAAATTCCAATTTAATAACTCTGGCAAGAACAACAACGACGACGACGAGTGAGGAGGGAGGTCTGACCATATTGGTTCAGACGGCTCTAAGCTTGACAACGACGGGGAGTCGTGATACATACCGAGTCTTTATATCCTCAACGAAAGTTTAAGCCACAATTACATCCGTTAGCCGCCGTTGTTAAGACAACAACGGCTCTGTTCCGGTCCAGGTTAAGTATCTTCCATTTGCTATTATATGGACCCAATTATAGATAGTGGGAGTTGGTTAAACACTTTCCTTTAATATTTCAACCAGAAAATACATACAAATAAAAGAAAAGGACACCTTAGCAACCGAACGGTACACAAACACGAACATAGAACAAAGCAAAAGGTTTACAAAATAATAACGGTACCATACCACACCCGCCGAACAACATACGTATGGGCATAAAAAGGACACAAACAAAAATATAGATTAGGGAATATGGCAACATCACTATTAGTGCAAAATAATCACACACAAAGGCCACCAAACACAATGAGGCCGTTACCATCACCAATACAAGGAAACAAAACTGTTACACAAAACAGCCCAACAAGGGACACCGCAAAAGGAAATAAAGCCACAGCAAAACAAAAAGCAAGGAAAATAACCAACCCTTACCTGAAACCCACAAACTCCACGAATACACACAGCCATCCATACAAGGAACAAGCAAAACGAACACACACGCATCACGAAATGCGGAGACGCAACCCCAGGCATCGCTTACTGTCCGGATACCACCCCAACATCCGGCAACCAATTATCCGCCATCAACCCAAGTTCAGGCTGATACACCTTCTTGGGATCAGTGGAAAAGGGGGAAGGGGGGGGGGGGCACGAAGAACCAGAAACCTCAAGGAGAGGCCACAGACCTACAGCATTAAAACCAAATCTTGCCTTGCATGACCACTACCACCAGAGTCAACTATCCCCCCTCCTTGGTTCACTGGTACATGGGAGGGGGGGGGGGACTCACGAGCAGGTATCGGAATAGGCAGCCCGTCCTCCAAACAAAGACACAAAGTCCATTCCATGCACCCGCCAAACCCCCTGTTTATGAATAAAAAAAAAAAGTTTACTCACGACTCAACTGATGACGTTCGAACACTTCCGGAACATGTGCTTAGCTGACGACTTTTGTTCGAACCACAACGCTATCATTGCTTCACCCACGTACAACAGATACAAATAATCGTCAACAGAACCTAAACACCTAACCTATGCCTATATATGCACAATATGCTAATATAATATTAATTTATATATAAGAACCTTTCTGTTTTAAATTAACAGCATGTTGAAATTGAATGAATGCGTCTTTGGGATCGACCACTGCATGGAATGGAGTTTGTCTGAGGACGGGTTGGCATAGGAACCACTGCACCCTGCCACCCCATAATCACTCCCTCACCCACTCCACCTGCAGCTTACAAAGATTCCACAAGAAACTCACTACCAGGGGACAGCGTCTTTGCAGAACTTCAACCGAGGGACCAGTGCATAAGACAACTTATGGACATAAGTTGTCCAGGAGGCGAGTGGGACGCATATCCTCAATCTTAGAGGCAACTGGAATCGCCTCTCGAGACGAGGGGCAAATCTCTACGTCCTAACCTCTCCACAGGTGGAGCATGGTCACCAGTATCGCACGCCAAAGCCGACATGGACAACAATTGGGGATCCAGGACCACCACCACTGCAGGTGGCACAATGGGGATCTCAACCGTTACATTCAGCATCACAAACCTCTGAAGCCGGAGCCTCATTGACACGCATCGGCCCGTCGGCAGCCCCTTTACACACAGGACACACAACCAGCCCCTGGGACACCCACCTACCCACTCCCGGGCAAGGGGGGGGGGGGGGGGGTCCCCCTCCAGGGGCGGGCAGGCAGGCAGGCAAAACGACATCCTCAATCAACACCTCTACAGGGCCCCTCCTGGGTTCGGGGGAGCAGAGAAACCCCCCCCCCCCCCCCACTGGTGGTTCCTGGGGTGGCAGAGGCGAAAAAGTCATCCTCCCTAAAGATATTCACACAGTCGACTGCGCCAACAATGCAATCCACCGTCAGGTGACCCGCCCTACCACAGCACATACACTTATGAGGCTGGCCTCTAGATAATACATACAGCTGAGCATAAACACCAAGGAAAAATGAAAACGCAGCCTGCGCCAGGGACCTCGTCAGTTCAGGTGCTGACAAGGTCCCTGGCGCAGTCACAGTAGATTGGTCTGCCGTCCAATCACTTGGACGGTAGAGCGAGGGTCTCGCTTCTTGCAGGTTGGGCATCATTTCTTCCCTTCGTCCCATCCCAAAATCTTATCCTGACCCTTTCCAAGTGTTATAAAGTCGTAATGGCTTCGTGCTTTCCCCTGATAATTCCCTTCCCTGGTGCGATCGAGCATCCCTGCACAGTTGCCGGCAGAGACCTTGTTCCGCTGGATACCGAGCACTTTCCCAAACCACCTGGTCAACAGCTCATCCTCCAACTCAAACGGTGCACGTCACACCGCAACGTAAATCAAGGTCACACTCTGGTTAACCACCCGAACGGTATCCAACCCATCAGGCAGAGGGAAAGTACGCCCCTTTCACTGACCGAGAAACTCTTGAAACACATCTTTGAGAAACTTAATCACCACACGACGGTCTTGCAGAGGTTTAACTCGCCATCAGATCGGCCAACTTGAAACGCACCACGTCCACCAATTGCAACTAACGTGTGGTCCACCGGCAAGGAAAAATCTAATCCTGCCGAGGTAGTCCTCTTCAGTGGAGACAGAGAGGCCTTACACACTCAGTTAAGAACCAAACACTAGCAAGCCTATACCTACCAGGGCAAATTGAAAAGTCTTAAAGCAAACAAACAAAACCCTTGCAAACCCAAGACTGAACCAAGAAGAGGCGAGTGCACACCTGAAATTGAAATCTACAAATATAGTAACTAAGAAAGCAAATAATGTTTTATCGTTTGCTGTATAAAGAAGTAAACTAATGTTAGGATAAAACATTTTGTAGGATTACGTACTACCTAGGCTTTTAATATTGAGACTAGATGTTCATAAGAGATTAGATGCCGTTATGTTTACTTATACTTAAATGTTGATACATGAAATTGAAACCTGTGAACATGGCTTTTGTTTACAATAAACATGCGGACTAGAAGTGTTTTCTCCTCCTGCCGTTAACGTAAGTGGCGGGTTGAGCTTTGCTCTTTCGGGAGACATGGTTCCAGGAACGATGGAAGCTGACTAGCACCAAGCCACAAGAGTATACAGGGGCATAGGGTGAAAGAAACTTTGTCCATTTGTTTCTGCCTCGTGTGGACCGGCTACGAGGCCCCATGTGGACCGGCAGAAGACCTATAGACAACAAATGTATTGTTCACGTTGGGTGTAGCCAAGCTGCTTCGTTCCAAGTCAAAATGGAATCTTTTGATGCAGCCAAGATCTCACTGGAGCTGTGGCCGAGCATGCTGGAGACAAATTTTGAGCATCATTGGATTCAAGAGGTTGTAAACAAGAAATCGGTACTCTTATATACACTGACTACAGCAGTGGTGTGTGCTGGGAAACGTGTGCACGCCACACTTACTACACACGAACTATAACGACCCAATTACTCTGCTTAAACGCCGTTATATGGTGAAACCTTCATACCATATGAGTTTGATAATTTTCATGAAGAGAACTAAAGAGAAGCAGGAAACCTTGCGTGCGTTGGCTAACAACTGCAACTTTCGAGCCTTTCGATTACTGGGTGACGGACCAGTTGTTCATAACAAAGTTAATTTTTTCCCCCTAACCTCATTGCAGAAAGTTTGAATTTACTATCTTTGTCATCATAGACAATGTTAAAATATTTTTAAC